TAGACTGAAGAGGGGATGGTCCTGTTCTATGTAATCCACAGTATATGTAAGTGATAGAACTGAAGGTTTGGTGGGTAAGGAATGTCTTTTTGCTGATGACACATAATGGTGTGCATTAGGGATGAAGTCCCTGCAGGCGCCTGTAACTTGAAACATGATTTGGTAATTGCTGGAAGCAGAGGCTTAACTAGAACCTTCAGGGCCTCGGTGCAAGAAACCACGAAGGGCCCCCCTGACCCCATCACCCTTACATCCCAGCCCACAGCAATCCCCTTTACATTACGGTCCACAGCAATCCCCTTTACATCACAGTCCGCAGTGTTCCCCTTTACATCACGGTCCGCAGTGTTCCCCTTTACATCACGGTCCGCAGTGTTCTCCTTTACATCACGGTCCGCAGTGTTCTCCTTTACATCACGGTCCGCAGTGTTTCCCTTTACATCACGGTCCGCAGTGTTTCCCTTTACATCACAGTCTGCAGTGTTTCCCTTTACATCACGGTCCACAGTGTGTTCCCCTTTACATTACAGGTCCGCAGTGTTCCCCTTTACATCACAGTCCACATTTCCCTTTACATCACGGTTAGCAGTGTTCCCCTTCACGTTACAGTCCGCAGGGTCCCCCTTATACATCACGATCTTTATACCACTAGAGGGGTCACCGGCAGGAGGAAGGAGGTCCTGATTCCTCTATATAGACCTTTATATCACTAAAGGGGTCACCAGCAGGAGGAAGGAGGTCCTGATTCCTCTATATAGACCTTTATATCACTAAAGGGGTCACCAGCAGGAGGAAGGAGGTCCTGATTCCTCTATATAGATCCTTTATATCACTAAAGGGGTCACCAGGAGGAGGAAGGAGGTCCTGAATCCAGTGTGTTGAATGGCCTGATTCCTCCATCCACACATTCGAGGTGGATGGGGGAATCTTTCCCCTCTGCCATTGTGCTTTAACAGCGGGCAGACTCCCCTTCCACCAGAGTACATCGAATTTGCAGCATTTATCCAACAGGCTCAATCAGTAGATCGACTTCTGTACATCCACTGTCCCTATACATGGATCCAAATTCACCCGGTCCCTGCTGGTCCAAATATACAAGTATGTCGTTCACCATCAGGAATGTAGAAGAAACATGTTACACGGCAATTCATTACATAAACTGACAAGTGAGGATTTTTTTTAATGATCTCCTCATGAGTACAAGTGCTGCTCTTGTCAGTTTGTGGAATGAATTGCTGTGTAAAGTGGACTGACGTCATCAGGGAAAGTGCACTTCAGCACAGCGCCTGCGATTCCCCAGCTCCCATAGACAGAAGTGTCAACTCTACAGCACCTGGAGGGAGCCAATGTCAGGGGGAGGCCAGGGGATCCGGTGTGTCAATAGCCTATGGATAACGTCCCGGACAGACAACTCATGGGGCCCCCAGGCAATAGGGGATCATGGGGCCCCTGTGTCCACACTCAAACCACACCCAAAAAAGCCTATGAAAGGTACCAGGGGCATCTCATGGGGCCCCTTACTGACCCCGGGTCCTCGGGCAGTGCCCGAGTTTCCAAATGGTCAGTCTGCCCCTAGGGGCGTCCCTAGGGTTGGTGTCACCCGGTGCGATAACACTTGGGGACACCCCCTCTGACGATCCCCGCAGAATGGATCGGATCTGTGGATTGAGCATAATGGATCGGAGTCCAATCCATTATGCTCCCCAGTCCGCAGATCCGATCCATCCTGTGGGGATCATCGGCTTTCTATGCTGTACAGTGCAGACAGGTTTACCCTGGTATCAGTGGCATCCCTAGGCAGGTGTGGGGGGTGTGCGCCTCACCGGGTGACACCTACCGCACGGGGTGACACCGGACCCGCTCCACGAAAAGGTAAGTTGTAAAGCAAGGCGACGATCCCCGCAGGATGGATCGGATCTGCGGATGAGCATCATGAATCTGAGTCCGATCCATTATGCTCCCCAATCCGCAGATCCGATCCATTCTGCGGGGATCGTCGGCTTGCTTTACAACTTACCTTTTCGTGGAGCGGGTCCGGTGTCACCCCGTATAGGTTGCATGCCAACGATCCCCGCAGAATGGATCGGATCTGCGGACTGAGCATCATGAATCTGAGTCCAATCCATTATGCTCCCCAATCTGCAGATCTGATCCATCCTGCGGGGATCGTCGGCTTGCTTTACAACTTACCTTTTTCGTTGGAGCGGGTCCGGTGTCACCCCATGCGGTAGGTGCAGGGGTGGACTGACCATTTGGAGGGATTCATGATGCTCAAGCCCCATGAGATGCCCCTGGTACCTTTTTCATAGGCTTTTTTGAGTTTGGGTGAGGACACAGGGGCCCCATGATCTCCTATTGCCCGGGGGCCCCATGAGTTGTCAGTCCGCCCCTGGGTAGGTGTCACCCGGTGCGGCGCACACCCCCCCGCACCTGCCTCGAGACGCCACTGGTCCCGGAGATGCAGCCCTCCTCAGATGGGGAGATCAACAAACTGGAAGAAAGCATACAGGTGGCGCAAACACCTAGCGCATTATCCAAGGTTTATTAAAAAGTATAAAAAGACAAAAAAAAAAAATGCTCATAAGCAGAGCTATCCTCTGAGGAAAGGGATTCGTCCCCAAAACGCATGAGCAGGCCTATCGCACCATCAGTCGGACGCTCTGCCGTCCTTGCGCCCATCTCTATGGCTTTATAGGCTTTATACATTTGCTATGTTTGTGAGTATATTTTTGGTGTTTTTATACTTTTTAATAAACCTTGGATAATGCATTAGGTGTTTTTCCCCCAGCTGCCATGCCTGTTGAGTCCAACTGAGGAGACAGAGCTGGCCCGAGCAGTGCCTATGTGACCAGTACCGCTTGGGACTAGCGAGCTCAGTCCAGGGGCGGACTGACCATTTGGAAACTCGGGCACTGCCTGAGGGCCCCGGGTCAGTAGGGGGCCCCGTGAGATGCCCCTGGTACCTTTTTCATAGGCTTTTTTGAGTTTGGGCAAGGACACAGGGGCCCCATGATCCTCTATTGCGCGGGGACCCCATGAGTTGTCAGTCCGCCCCTGGCTCAGTCACACCCAGATGACCTAAGAAGCCTTGTGTGTCACGCGTCACATGACCAGACGCTAGAAGCGGGGATGCGAGATTTCCCTTCTCCCGCATGAGCCCCTTCCTGCCCAGTGCCATTAGTACAGTGTCAGCACTTTTAATTAGCACTGATCACTGTATTGGTGTCACTGGGGGTGTCAGTGACACCAAGTCAGTCCCCCCCCCCCCCAGTGTCAGAATGCCAGCCAAAGTCCCACTGATCGCCACCATTACTAGTAAAAAAAAAAAATCTCAGTATATGTATACCGCCCTTTGTAAACGCTATAACTGTCACGTAAACCAATTACTTTACACGGAGCACAATACATTTTGGCCGAAATTTATGACGAAATTTGATTTTTTTTAAAATATTTTTTTACTGGACATGTTTAATAGCAAACAGTTAAAATATTGTTTTTTTTTCTCAAAATTTTAAAACGCACAGGCGAACGATCAAATACCGCCGAAAGAAAGCTCCATTCATGGGGAAAAAAAGGACGTAAATGTCATTTTGTGCAGCGTTGCATAACCGCGCAATTGTCAGTTAAAGTAACGCAGCGCCATATCGCAAAAAATGGGCTGGTCAGGAAGGGGGGGGGGGGGCAATTCCTCTGGAGGTCGAGGGGTTAAAGGCTAGATAACAGGTTTAGTGTACTGAAACATTTGGATAGTTAACCCCTTCCCGACCCTTTAACAGGTTCCAAAAGCTGGGAGGCGGGCATTCTGGACACGTGACCCCTGTGATTGGCTGTCACAGCAGTCACATGATCGGCAAGCTCCCAATGGGAAGTATGCATCTGGAGCTTTCCTGTACCCGCTGATTGCTGCACTGGGAGCACGCTGTCAGCACAGCAAGGTGTTAACATAGGGAGACATGTATGCATACAGCCAGTCATGTGACCGCTGTGACTGCCAATCACAGGTGTCACATGTCCGGAATGCCCGCCTCCACCTTCCAGCATTTAGAACCTGTTAAAAGGCTGGGAGGCGGCGGGAAGGGGTTAACTATCCTAAGTGTTTCAGTACACCAACCCTCGGCTCACACCTATGCGGTTTGCGTCTGATCCATTTCTGCAGTGCGTTTTGCATTTTTTTTACATGTGTTTTTGCCGCGTTTTTACATTTTCTTGTTGCTAAGCAGATTAAAACACATCAAAAATGTGGCAAAAGTGCAGCAAAAATGTGCAAAAGTGCAGCAAAAATTTGGCAAAAGTGCAGCAAAAATTTTTCTGCAGCATTTCCATTGAAGTCTATAGAACCCAAAACGCAATGTTTTGCGTTTCAAAAAGTCGCTGACCCTTTCCAAAAACTGCATGGGGTGAAAACGCAGAAAGGTGACCTTGTCCCATAGGAAATCATGTTGAGTCTAGGTTCACACCTATGCAGGTTGCGTTTGGTGCGTTTCTGCATTGTGCATATTTTTGATGCGTTTTGCGTTTTTTTTTTTTTTTTTGTTGCTAGGCAGATTTTAAATGCAAACCGCATCAAAAATGCAGCAAAAAATCAGCGAAAATGCAATACATGCTTTTCTGCAGCGTTCTCATTGAAGTCCATAATGATGGGTATCTATTTACTCACCATAACACCACCTTTTTATATTTTACAAAACAATTGTGTTTGTTAAAAAAAATTCAATAAAGAGTGTTTTTCCCTCAAAAATTGCATTTGAAAAATTGCTGCACAAAATACCGTGTGACGCAAAAAATTTCAATGACCGCCATTTCACTCTGTAGGGTCTTTGCGGAAAAAATATATATTATGTTTGGCGGTTTCTAGCAAAAAATACTGATTGTGACAAAAAGTGGCATAAAATGCCGGGTCTTCAAGTGAATGGTAACGGAAATGCTTCCTGACATGCCTCTTCTATCTGTGCCCCGCTGTCACTCATTCCTGGTGCTCTCCATTCTCTCCGCTCCTCCAGCTGCAGGAATTTGCGCATTTTGACTTTGCGGTGTGGCGGAAGAGATACATGCAGTGGATCGGCCAGATGAAATCACGAATTCTGGACATCTTCCGAGGAATAGACCGAGACCAGGATGGACGCATCAGCCAGAGGGAGTTCATGGACAGCGTGCTCTCCTCCCGTGAGTGACCGGTCAGGCTCTTGTCTGATACCATTTAAAGCCGGGCTCCATCCAGCCTTGGTAGTGAGCTGCAGGTCTGTGTTTCATTGGCAAGGCAGACATTCCACATGGAAGGAAAATAAATTTTAAATCTATTTTAAAAATATTCTTCCCAAATATATTGCCAGATATTTGAAATGCTACAATTTTGGCCACATTCAATATATTTCAATAAATATATATATATATATATATATATATATATATATATATACTGTATTATGTTGAAATGCGTTTTTATTACAAAATATATGAAAAATATTTTAAAAAATACATTTTCAAATATACTGTATGTCTTTAAAAATACATTTAATCTACATTTTTGGAATGCATTTACAAATTTATGTAAAAATATATGTTAAAATTACTTTTTTTTATGTGTTAAAACTCTGAAGAATATATTTTAAAAATATATATTTTTAAAAATATTTTTTGTATATTTTGTAATATATAAAAAATGCATCTCAACATGCAGTGTGTATAATATATATATATATATAATGTCTTTGAAAATATATTTAATCTAATATTTACAAATATATACCGTATTTTTCGCTCCATAAGACGCACCTGACCATAAGACGCACCTAGGTTTTAGAGGTGAAAAACAAGAAAAAAAAAATATTCTGAACCAATGGACTGCAGACATAGTACAGGGGATGACCAGAGACTGCGGACACAGTACAGGAGATGACCAGAGACTGCAGACATAGTACAGGAGATGACCAGAGACTGCGGACAAAGTACAGGGGATGACCAAGAGACTGCGGACATAGTACAGGAGATGACCAGAGACTGCAGAAACAGTACAGGAGATGACCAGAGACTGCGGACACAGTACAGGAGATGACCAGAGACTGCGGACACAGTACAGGAGATGACCAGGGACTGCGGACACAGTGCAGGAGATGACCAGAGACTGCGGACACAGTGCAGGAGATGACCAGAGACTGCGGACACAGTGCAGGGAATGACCAGAGACTGCGGACAGTGCAGGGGATGACCAGAGACTGCGGACAGTGCAGGGGAATGACCAGAGACTGCGGACAGTGCAGGGAATGACCAGAGACTGCAGACGGGATGACAGTGCAGGGAATGACCAGAGACTGCAGACAGTACAGGGGATGACCAGAGACTGCGGACACACAGTACAGGGAATGACCAGAGACTGCAGACAGTACAGGGGATGACCAGAGACTGCGGACAGTGCAGGGAATGACCAGAGACTGCAGACAGTGCAGGGAATGACCAGAGACTGCGGACAGTGCAGGGAATGACCAGAGACTGCAGACAGTGCAGGGAATGACCAGAGACTGCTGACCTTTGGGGAGGGAGGGGGAGCGGGTACCTGAATTTGACAGGTACCCGCTCCCACTTCCGCGGAGTTGCCTTCCCTCTTCTTCCCGGGCCGGCTTCTGTGACAGCCGGGTGCCCACTGCGCAGGTGCAAGAAGCGCTTCGCTTTGTGAATGGCCCGGCGCCTTCTGTGACCTTTCATGTGTCCCAGAAGACACCGGATCATTCACAAAGCGCGGCGCTTCTCACGCATGCGCAGTGGGCACCCGGCTGTCACAGAAGCCACCGCGGGAAGACTGCAGCGCTGGAGCGAGGAACAGGTAAGGCCCTGCAGGAGAGAAACAGCTGAGCGGCCCGGCCCGGTATTCTGACATGGTGGCGGCAGAAATACCGGACCGGCCGCTTTACATTCGCTCCATAAGACGCACTGACATTTTCCCCCCTTTTTGGGGGGGAAAAAAGTGCGTCTTATGGTGCGAAAAAATACGGTATATGTATGTCTTTGAAAAACAAAAAACAAAAAACAAAAAAAAAAAAAATATATATATATATATATATATATGCATATCTCTGAAAATATATTTAATCTACATTTTTGGAATGCATTTACAAATATATGTAAACATATATGATAAAATGACTTTTTATATGTTAAAAATCTGAAGGATATATTTAAAAAAATATATTTGTAAAAATATTTTTCATATATTTTGCAATATATAAAAAATGCATTTCAACATGCACTGTGTGTGTGTATATGTGTATATATATATATAAGATGAAATCTATTTTGAAATCTGTTGAATACGGCCAAAATTGTAGTATTTCAAATATATGTCAATATATTTGGGAAGAATATTTTTAAAATACATTTTCAAATATACTGTATGTCTTTAAAAATACATTTAATCTACATTTTTGGAATGCATTTACAAGTATATGTAAAAATATATGTTAAAATGACTTTTTTATGTGTTAAACATCTGAAGAATATATTTAAAAATATATATTTTTAAAAATATTTTTCATATTTTGTAATATATAAAAATGCATCTCAACATGCAGTGTGTATATATATATATATATATATATATATATATATATATATATATATATATATATATATATATATGAGTATGTCTTTGAAAATATATTTAATCTACATTTTTGGAATGCATTTACAAATATATGTAAACATATATGTTAAAATGACTATTTTTATATGTTAAAAATCTGAAGGATATATTTAAAACAAATATTTTTAAAAATATTTTTCATTTATTTTGCAATATATTAATAATGCATCTCAACATGCAGTGTATGTGTATGTATGTATATATATATGTGTATATATATATATATATATATATATATATATATATATATATATATATAAAAAATGAAATCTATTTTGAAATCTATTGAATACGGCCAAAATTGTAGTATTTCAAATATATGTCAATATATTGGGGAAGAATATTTTTAAAATACATTTTCAGATATACTGTATGTCTTTAAAAATAAATTTAATCTACATTTTTGGAATGCATTTACAAATATATGTAACAATATATGTTAAAATTACTTTTTTATATGTTAAAAATCTGAAGGATATATTTTAAAAAATATATTTTTCTTCCATGTGGGTAGAAGTGAGCCGTATCTGTATCACAAACTGCGGCCTTTAAAAACATATATATTTGTAAAAATATTTTTCATATATTTTGTAATATATAAAAAATGCATTTCAACATACAGTATATATATAATGAAATCTACTTTGAAATATATTGAATACGGCTAAAATTGTAGTATTTCAAATATATATCAGTATATTTGGGAAGAATATTTTTAAAATACATTTTCAAATATACTGTATGACTTTAAAAGTACATTTAATCTACATTTTTGGAATGCATTTACAAATATATGTAACAATATATGTTAAAATTACTTTTTTATATGTTAAAAATCTGAAGGATATATTTTAAAAAAAAATATATTTTCTTCCATGTGTGTAGAAGTGAGCCGTATCTGTATCACAAACTGCAGGCCTTTAAAAATATATATCTTTGTAAAAATATTTTTCATATATTTTGTAATATATAAAAAATTGCTTTTCAACATTCAGTGTATATATATATATATATATATATATATAATAATGAAATCTACTTTGAAATATATTGAATACGGCCAAAATTGTAGCATTTCAAATATATGTCAGTACATTTGGGAAGAATATTTTTAAAATACATTTTCAAATATACTGTATGACTTTAACAGTACATTTAATCTACATTTTTGGAATTAATTTACAAATATATGTTAACATATATATTAAATTGACTATTTCATATGTTAAAAATCTGAAGAATGTATTTAAAAAAAATATAATTTTAGCTGGTGGGTTGCCTCACAGGTCCAGGCAGGGGTGTACTTACCACAAGGCATTTGGCTAGGGCAGCCTTTTTCGGGGGGGGGCAGCACTGCCCCTTGGAAGAGGGGACACACGCAGCATGGGGTTCCTGGTGGGTTCCGAGAGATGCTGCGGGTTCATGACGATGTATGCACACCTCGAATCTCGTTCCTGGGGATGTCCGGAGCTGCAAAGCTGAGTGTCTTTCTCTCTCTCGCCATGGGGGATGGTGGCTGGTGTATGGGGGGCAGTAGTAGTGGAAGGCTCGGTGGAGGACAGGGGTGCTCTTGGGCAATGTCAGGCTCTTTCTACAGGAGGGGGCACCAATTTTTGTGTTGCCTAGGGCAGCACAAAACCTAAATATACACCACTGGGTCCAGGGCTGTGGTCTGTTGTAGTAGAGCCCAGTCTCTGAAGACTCTCTTGTGCAGGATATGTGTCACATATCTCCTCTGAGGCCAACTTGACAAGAGGGCTTTCCTTGCCACTGAGTCCTGAACACCCCTGAAGGTAATACCAAGGAGTGCAAGGCTCAAAGAAGCTTGGGTGCCCTTTAAGTAGCTCTGCTGGAGGTTGCATGCAGTGGAGTCCACCGAGTAGCTGATGGTAGGACCTCTACTGCCTTTGGAGATGCAGCAGGACAAAGGCAAGATGGCACCCAAGCTAGAAGCTAGGTCATACTGGCAGGGCCAGGTTCAAGAAGTGTAGTCAGGATAGAAGCCAAGGTCATACATGGAGAGGCCAACCAGAGAGAGGGCTGGAGCGTAGTCAAGAACAGTAGCCAAAGTCCTACACAGGAATCAGGTGGAGCAGGCAGAAGAGTGGTCAGGTAACAGACCAGAATCCTACACGGTAAGTCAGGAGAGGAAGAGTCCTTTGGAGCAAGCCGGGGTCAAACCCAGGAGTCAGACAGCAGGAATGTCCAGAGACATCCAGGTCAGTAACAGAAGGTCCAAGGAGTACAGGATACACAGGGGCAAGGAGTACTGGTAGCTGACAATCATCCATCAAATTCTAAGTACATCTACTGACCTTATATAAGGCATTGGGTTGCCGTTCTGGCCACAGGTGTGCGTGACCCCTGCCTCTGGGAGGCTAGTGGGGGATGCCGGTCCCAGTCTGGTATACCTTGGTCTGTATCAGGCACACACTGCCCTGTTTGGCCACTGATTCCTCTGATTTGCAACCTGCCATTGCATCTATGGGAGTTCAGGCTGTGGTATGGGCAAAGAGTATAATAAAAGAACCTGATCCTTCCAGTCAGATGGTGCACCTCTTTGGCATGGCTCTGAGTACATTTATCCAGAAGATCATGGGAGAAAAGAGCACTCTCTTATCTCTAAAGAAGTATGTGGAGCAGAATTCATCTTTGGAGTCAAGAAGGATTCCTTTTGTTCTTTTCAGAGCAAAACAGAAAACTTCCTTTCAAAATCTGAAGACGTCCTGGACTCCCTAGCCCATCAAGTTGAGCACCAAACCTTCTTCCTAATGAAGGGGCACTCTTAGCAACCATATGGATCAGAGATGTCTCCAATGTATGGGTCTAAAACTTTGTGTACAGAGGCTACAAGCTGGAGTTTTGCATCTCGCCTCCTACACGCTTTATGGCATCAAATGTTTCTACCGTACCTGACAAAATAGCAGCCTTGTTTGCTGCACTGGACCAGTTGCTCTCTCAGGGGGCTCTTGCTCCTGTTCCGGAACCAGAATGATTTCAGGGTTACTATCTCAACCTGTTCAAGCGGCCCAAGACAAATGATGATTTGGACCTGAAGCGACTGAACAAGTTTTTACATGTTCAAAAGTGTGCCCCCCCCCCCCATATGGAATCTAAGGTCAGTGGTTGCTTCCCTCCATCTGGGGGATTTCCTGGCCTCAGTGAACATCAGGGATGCCTACCTCCACAACCCTGTATTTCCACTTCATCAGCACTACCTTGGTTTTGGAATATGGAAACATTTTCATTCAGTGGCTTTGCCCTTTGGTCAAGTCATGCCACCACCCGTGTTTATGAAGGTGCTGGCCTTGGTTATGGCTCTCCTGCAATCTAGAAGATCCCCGTTCTGGGGTATCTGGATGATCTACTCCTATGGGAGCAATTGAAAGAAGTTCTCAGGACTAATATGCAGCAGATAGTACAAGTCCTGCAGGGCTTTGGCTGGGTCATCAATCTCAGATGTCAACCCTGGAGCTATCACCCCAGCTGGAATATCTGACCCTTCTCCTGGACACAGCCCTGGCACAAGTTTGCTTTCCCTAGCAAAAGCTTCCCATACATACAATTTAATTCAAGAGGGTTGCAACTCAACATCCTGACAGTGTAAAAAAAATACTGTTGTTGGATCTCCCTGTCTCTGAACACCAAAACCAGATTATCCTTGGAATGGTGGCCCTCCTGTCTCCTCATGGGGTTAAAAGTACTGACAACAGACTCTAGCCTGTCAGCCTCTGAGGATCCCTGGACTTTGTCAGTCCAGGGGATTCCTCAATAGAGGAATCTCAGATGACGATAAATATCCTGGCGCTCAAAGCTATTTGTCTTGCCCTTCAGTACTGGACCCTCCTGCTCCAGGGACTGCCAATCAAGGTCCAATATGATGCCACCACTTTGGCGTACATAAATCACTAGGAAGTAACAAATGTCAGGCAGCTCTTCTAGAGTTTAAAATTATTCTGAATTCTGAAATAAGTTCTCTGTTCCAAGAGGGGACTCTCCCCGGAAAGCTTGTTCTCAAAATTGATGTTACTAAAAAAAGTATCACGGACAGTGTTTCTGTCGCAAGTGCACTCTAGTCTACAATTCTTCCAAGAGTGGAAAATTGGCAAGTGAACTTCCTAAGCCAACAGCAACTGAATCCCAGAGAGCGGTCCCTCCACCCAGATGTGTTTCACCAACTTTTTCTCTTCGGTGGGGGACACCAGATGTAGATATAATGGTGTCCAGACTCGGCGGACCTCCAGAGTAGCAGCTCTAGTCACTCCATGGAATCAGTTCAACCTGATTTATGCATTCTGCCCTCCCAAGGGTGTGTTTCTTGGACATAGACTTCTAGTGAAATCTCTGTGGGCCCTAAAGGGCCTCTCTGCACCTTCTCTGTCAAGGTCCAGTTTTGCATCCTGATTTTGAAGCCCAAGTGCAGAGGAACAAGGGTCTTGCAGACTCTGTGATTCACACTTTTCTGAAGACCTGAAAGCCCCCTTCTAGGGTTTACCACCACACATGGAAAGCATTTGATGCTTGGTGTGAAAAGGAAATCTTCATCCTAGGAACTACTCAGTGGCACGGGTGGTATTCTTCCTTCAGTCAAGACTGGACAAGTCCTTAGCCCCGAGTTTCTGTCTTTTCAGTGTTCTTTCAGAGACTTTTAGTTTCCCACTCCTTGGTGAAAGCCTTTGTGCAAGGGTTGCCTCACATTATTCCACCAGCACTGCTAGCTCCATGGGACCTCAACCTAGTATTGACAATCCTTTAGAGGCAACCATTTGCATTCATTTGGGATATTTCTCATGATTATCAACTCAATTAGGAGAGTGCCTGAGCTTGGGGTTTGTCCTGTAAGGAGTCTTTTCTTGTGGTTCGCAAGGACAGGGTTGTGTTGTGACCACATAGTCTCTCCCTGCCTAAGGGGATCTCTGCGTTTCACCTAAATCAGGAAATAGTGTTGGTTTTCTTTTGTCCGGATTCTAAGGAGATTGTTGTCCACTGGATGTGGTTAGAGCAGTGTAGGTCTACCTTGCAGCAATGGCCTCAAACTATGAATCTGACATTTTTCTTCTGTGTTACCTGAAGGATCCCAGAAGGGCCAGATTGCCTGATTGCCCCTCGATTCACAGTTGCAAGGTGGATGCAACAAATCATTGCTCGGCAGTACGATCTGAAAAGTAGGGTTCCTCATGTCTTGTGAAGGCCCAGAAGTGTTGGTGCCTTTCTTTCTTGTCTCCTTAGCATGGGCGGGATTCAACCTTCACATCATATTGGGGGGTATGTGGTGACATCCTCAATCTGGCTGCAAGGACATAGGAAAAGCTGGCTTGAGAGATGTTGCTACACATGGGCCACTGGCTTGAGTCCAGCAGCACGATATGCCAAGGATTCCTTACCAAGGATGATGCTAAGGATGCCAAGGTGATGCCAAGGATTCCTTGCCAAGGATGATGCCAAGGATACCAAGGTGATACCAAGGATTCCTTGCCAAGGATGATGCCAAAGATGCCAAGGTGATGCCAAGGATTCCTTGCCAAGGATGATGCCAAGGATACCAAGGTGATACCAAGGATTCCTTGCCAGGGATGATGCCAAGATTGCCAAGGTGATGCCAAGGATTCCTTGCCAAGGATGATGCCAAGGTGATGCCAAGGATTCCTTGCCAAGGATGATGCCAAGGATGATGCCAAGAATACCAAGGTGATGCCAAGGATTCCTTGCCAAGGATGATGCCAAGTATACCAATGTGATACTAAGGATTCCTTGCCAAGGATGATGCCAAGGTGATACCAAGGATGATGTCAAGGATTCCTTGCCAAGGATGATGCCAAGTATGCCAAGGTGATACCAAGGATTCCTTGCCAAGGATGATGCCAAGGATGCCAAGGATTCCTTGCCAAGGATGCCAAGGTGATGCCAAGGATTCCTTGTGGTGTCATTTCTAATAGCTACCAAGCAGCCCAAGATTTCGGAGTAAACCACCTGAGGACATTGCCAGGGACATTTGTTTGCCAGGGACAGGCCCCTCAAAACAGGTACAAATGGCACTCATAATATTAACCCTTGTGCGACTAGTTCCAGTGTTTTTGTGTATTGGGTGGATGTAGACAGTTGAAACAAAGACATCACAATATTAGCAATCAATTTTTTCTTCCCAGGATTCCCCACCAACTCTCTGGAGATGACCGCCGTGGCGAACATCTTCGATATAAATGGAGACGGATTCATTGACTACTATGAGTTTGTGAGCGCGCTGCACCCCAGCAGAGACCCCCTGCGGAGGATCGTTGATGCTGACCGCATTCAGGATGAGGTAAGGACTGAGCCCTTCGTCCCTCCTTGGACACATACTTATCACCCCAAAGAGCTAGCTCACAGCCCCGTGTGTGTCCTACAGGTGAACCGGCAGGTCGCTCAGTGCAACTGTGCCAAACGCTTTCAGGTGGAACAGATCAGCGCCAACCGCTACCGAGTGAGTACCATTCGCTTTCTTCATGATATCTACATCTACAGAGTTACGGATGGTGACCCATAACTCCATAGAGTGGCCTTGGGGCTTATGTTCCATGCAGCACTCATAAAGAAGCATTGCATTTGGTTGTAGAGTGGGAGCAGAGTGGGAGTCCCACCCAAAATTCTCAGATCAGTTATAGGTCAAGTCTATTTTCACTAGCATACTTTCTCTATGGTAGAAAATACAAATCCAATGAGAGGAAACCCCTGAAATGGGCCAATGAAAGTGTGCAGAAAGGAACTCCACAGAGACGGTGGGAACCCCTCATAATGGGCACAGAAAGTGTGCAGACCCTGGAACTCAGCACAGGGATGGCGGGAACCCCTCATAATGGGCTCAGAAAATGTGCAGACCCTGGAACTCAGCACAGGGATGGCGGGAACCCTTCATAATGGGCACAGCGGGTGTACAGACCAGGGAACTCAGCATAGGGATGGTGGGAACCCCTCATAATGGGCACAGAAAGTGTGCAGTCCAAGGAACTCAGCACCAGGATGATGGAAACCCTTCATAATGGGCACAGAAAGCGTGAAAACCCGGGAACTCAGCACATGGATGGTGGGAACCCCTCATAATGGGCACAGCAGGTGTACAGACCAGAGAACTTAGAACAGACATCTCAACAATAAAATCCTAATAATCCTATTATTATTATTATTATTATTATACAGGATTTATGGCGCCAACAGTTTGCTCAGCACTTTACAATATAAGGGGGGGCGGTACAATTACAATACATTTCAGTACAGAAGGAATAGGAGGGCCCGGCTCGTGGAGCTTACAATTTAAAGGAAGGGGGAGGTGATATAAAAGGTGATAGCTGCGGGGGATAATCTGGCGGAGGTGATTCAATGATTCAAGTACAGTTCTTAGGTGGAGGTGGGGTAGGCTTCCCTAAAGAGGTGAATTTTCAAGGATCGCCTAAAGGCAGACAGGGTGGGGGCTGACCGGACATGCTGTGGTAGGGAGTTCCAGAGGATGGGAGAGGCTCTGGAGAAGTCCTTGAGGTGGGCTTGGCAGGAGGTGATGAGGGAGCTAGAGAGGAGGATATCATGGGAGGAGCGGAGTGGGCGATTTGGGTGGTATCTGCGGATGAGGTTGGTGATGTAGCCGGGGGCAGTGTTGTGGATGGCTTTGTAAGCTGTGGTTATTATTTTGAATTTTATATATGTTGGGTTAGTGGAAGCCAGTGGAGGGATTGGCAGAGAGGGGCAGCAGTCGCTGATCGGTTGATAAGGTGTATGAGTCTAGCAGCAGTCGCTGATCGGTTGGTAAGGTGGAGGAGTCTAGCAGCAGTCGCTGATCGGTTGGTAAGGTGTATGAGTCTGGCAGCAGTCGCTGATCGGTTGGTAAGGTCTATGAGTCTAGCAGCAGTCGCTGATCGGTTGGTAAGGTGTATGAGTCTAGCAGCAGTCGCTGATCGGTTGGTAAGGTGTATGAGTCTAGCAGCAGTCGCTGATCGGTTGGTAAGGTGTATGAGTCTGGCAGCAGTCACTGATCGGTTGGTAAGGTAGTCTGGCAGCAGTCGCTGATCATGGTAATATGTAGAGTCTAGCAGCAGTCGCTGATCGGTTGGTAAGGTGTATGAGTCTAGCAGCAGTCGCTGATCGGCTGGTAAGGTGTATGAGTCTGCAGCAGTCGCTGATCGGTTGGTAATGTATGAGTCTAGCAGCAGTCGCTGATCGGTTGGTAAGGTGTATGAGTCTAGCAGCAGTCGCTGATCAGTTGGTAAGGTGGATGAGTCTAGCAGCAGTCGCTGATCGGTTGGTAAGGTGTATGAGTCTAGCAGCAGTCGCTGATCGGTTGGTAAGGTGTATGAGTCTAGCAGCAGTCGCTGATCGGTTGGTAAGGTGTATGAGTCTAGCAGCAGTTGCTGATCGGTTAGTAAGGTGTATGAGTCTAGCGCAGTCTCTGATTGGTTGGTAAGGTGGATGAGTCTAGCGGCAGTCACTGATCGGTTGGTAAGGTGTATGAGTCTAGCAGCAGTCGCTGATTGGTTGGTAAGGTGGATGAGTCTAGCAGCAGTCGCTGATCGGTTGGTAAGGTGTATGAGTCTAGCAGCAGCATTCATAATAGACTGAAGGGGGGATAGCCTGTGTAACGGTAGACCAGTGAGGAGGGAGTTGCAGTTATCGAGGCAGGATATAACCAAGGCGTGGATGAGTTGTTTTGTGGTGTCATTGGTCAGGCAGGGGCGGATTTTGGAAATGTTCCGGAGGTTGAGGCAGGCAGGATTTAGCCGGTGATTGGATGTGGGGCCCAAAGGAGAGGTCAGAGTCTAGGATTACGCCTACACCCTGGCATGAGGGGAAGGACCAATGGTTGTGCTGTTGATCTCAATGGTAAAGTCATGAGTGGGGGATCGGGGGGGAGGAAATATTACAGCTCAGTTTTTGAAAGATTGAGTTTAAGGTAGTGATGTGACATTCATACTGATATGTCTCTTAGTAGATTTGTGATACGTGAGGAGATTGAGGGGGTGAGCTGGGGACTGGAGAGATAGATTGGGTGTCATCAGCATAGAGGTGGTATTGGAAGCCATGGGAGGTTATCAGTTGGCCCAGGGAGGAGGTATAGAGAGAGAAAAGGAGGGGCCCAAGAACAGAACCTTGGGGTACCCCAACAGAAAGAGGGAGAGGAGCGGAGGAGGAGGAGTTGTATGTGAAACTGAAAGTGCGCTGAGAAAGGTAAGAGGAGAACCAGGAAAGAGCAGAGTCACAGAGGCCGATAGAGTGGAGTTCACTGAGGAGGAGCAGGTGGTCGACTCTGTCAAAGGCAGCAGAAAGGTCAAGGAGTATGAGTATGGAGTAATGGCCATTGGTTGGGATGAGTATGGAGTAATGGCCATTGGTTGGGATAAGTATGGAGTAATGACCATTGGTTGGGATAAGTATGGAGTAATGGCCATTGGTTGGGATAAGTATGGATTGGGAGAGTATGGAGTAATGACCATTGGTTGGGATGAGAGTATGGAGTAATGGCCGTTGGTTGGGATGAGTATGGAGTAATGGCCATGGGGATAAGTATGGGATGAGTATGGATTAATGGCCGTTGGTTGGGATGAGTATGGAGGAGTAATGGTTGGGATGGCCGTTGGTTGGGATGAGTATGGAGTAATGGCCGTTGGTTGGGATGATGGAGTAATGGCCGTTGGTTGGGGTGAGTATGGAGTAATGGCCGTTGGTTGGGGTGAGTATGGAGTAATGGCCGTTGGAGTAATGGAGTAATGGTTGGTTTTAGCAGTTAGTAGGTCATTAGTGAGTTTTAGTCGGGCAGTTTCTGTGGAATGTTGTGGATGGAAGTCAGACTGTCGGGCATCAAGAAGGTTGTTGGCGGTGAGGTAGCAGTTCATACGGTTGTGAACAAGGCACTCGAGAAGCTTGGAGGCAAATGGGAGCAGGGAGATGGTCTTAAGTTATTCAAACAGGTGGGGTCCAGCGAAGGTTTTTTCAGGATGGGGGTAACCAGTGCATGTTTGAGAGGGGGAGAGAAAGGTGCCCATGGAGAGTGAGAGGTTGGAGATGTGGGTTAGAGAGTTTAGGATAGAGCAGGAAGGAGGCTGCAACAGTCGTGAGGGGACAGGATCCAGGGGCCAGGTGGTGAAGTGGGCCTTGGAAAGGAGATCGGTAACTTCCTTGGTGGTAACAGGGTCGAAGGAGGAGAGTGTTGAGTTTGGTGTTGGGCCTGGTATGTTGGTTAGAGGAGGAAGCTTGACACTGGAGATCTCCGGAGATCTAGGCTTGGATTTGACATTACAGTTCGCACTCTCAGAATTGTATTTATAAAAACTTTGCATAGCGGTTCGTCATGTGAAAGTGCATGCAGATTTGTTTGTAGGAATTTCCTATGATACACAGCGCCTGTTAGTGGCCAAATGGGGTATTTTCCATTTTTAATCCTTTTAAAACCTTCAAACCGCACGGGAAATGCCATTTGTTGATTTTTTTGCCCCATTCAAAGTGAATCTACATGTCGAATCGCTACGCATGTTTTATTTTATAAATAAACCCCTTAAAGTGTATGTATAGCCAAAAACATTTTTTTTTCGAATAGGATGGAGTAGGCAATGGAGAGAATCCCTTTAAATGCATTTTTCGCTGTGTGTCCTGTTGGGGGAGATTACACTTCATTTCCTGCCCCGAGAGACACCACAGGATGTGGGAGGAGATCAAAAGTGAGTGGGGAAGCCCTACCTAGAGAATAGTCCTCTGAGCTCCCCTCCACATGTAAATTTCTCATCACTATGACAGTGGTCACCCAGTGGCGTCCCGAGGCAGGTGCGGGGGGTGCAGCCCACACCGGGTGACACCGACTGCACGGGGTGACACCGGATCCGCTCCACGAAAAAGGTAAGTTGTAAAGCAAGCCAACGATCCTGCGGGGATAGTTGGCTTTCTTTACAACTTACCTTCTCTTGGAGCGGGTCCAGTATAGGTTGCTTGCCGACGATCCCCGCAGGATGGATCGGATCTGCGGATTGGGGAGCATAATGGATCGGAGTCCGATCCATTATGCTCAATCCACAGATCCGATCCATCCTGCGGGGATCGTCGGCTTTCTTTACAACTTACTTTTTCTTGGCGCGGGTCCGGTGTCACCCCGTATAGGTTGCATGCCGATGATCCCCGCAGGATGGTTCAAATCTGCGGATTGAGCATAATGGATTGGAGTCCGATCCATTATGCTCCCCAATCCGCAGATCCGATCCATCCTGTGAGGATCGTCGGCATGCAACCTATATGGGATTGAGTGGATTGAGCATAATGGATCAGACTCCAATCCATTATGCCCCCCAATCCGCGGATCCGATACACCCTGCGGGGATCGTAGGCATGCAACCTATACGGGGTGACACCGGACCCGCTCCATGAAAAGGTAAGTTGTAAAGAGAGCCGACGATCCCCGCAGGATGGATCGGATCTGCAGATTGGGGGGCATAATGGATCGGAGTCTGATCCATTATGCTCAATCCACTCAATCCCATATAGGTTGCATGCCGACGATCCCTGCAGGATGGATCGGATCTGCGGACTCCGATCCATGATGCTCAATCCGCAGATCCGATCCATTCTACCTGGATCGTTGCCATGCAGCCTATACGGGGTGACACCGGACCCGCTCCAAGAAAGGGTAAGTTATAAAGAAAGCCGATGATCCCCGCAGGATAGATCGGATCTGCGGATTGGGGGGCATAATGGATCGGAGTCTGATCTATTATGCTCAATCCGCAGATCCGATCCATTCTGCGGGGATCGTCGGAGGGGGTGTCGCCAAGTGTTACAGCACCGGGTGACACAAACCCTAGGGACGCCTCTGTGGTCACCAGAACAGATAGAGAGGAATCAGGACCTGACCGAGGGTCTAACCCTTCCATACTCCATCCAAAACTAGAAAAAAACGTTTTTCCTATGTACATGCACTTTAAGGATGGGGTGGTGGTTATAGCTCATTGGCTCTCATCCTCCTCTTTTTCTTACCGTCTCTTCTCTGATTTTCATTCTTCTGTCTCCTCCATGTTACCCGTCAACCACCCCAGACCATCACCCCTCCTCCCAAATTTCCCGCATCCCATGTACACGCCCTTCCGTTCAGCCTGCTAGGGTGGAGCTTTCCCCGCACCCGGAGCCTCTACAGTCCCCGCTCTCCCCACTGTCACACTTTATGATGTCCCCTCTGTCCGCGTGTCGCCATGTCTGCCTTCTGTCTGCTGGAAGGGATCTACGCTCTACTTTTAGTCCTTCGCATTCTGAGTTATTGTTGTGACGTTTACATAAAAGTGACTTTTTATGCGAAATCTTTACTTGCTGTTTCATATTTTAGTTTTTTTGAGTAAATCAGGCACACGCTGCATGCATTGTTGTCAGTCAATGTGAGATTTACACACAGGGCGGAACAGTACATCACAGAATCAATGCTAAACCACTAGGGAGGAAGCTGAGTCTGCACATGTAATGAAGTAATGGGAGATCTAATTATATGGTCCTGATTTGCCCAGTGTGTGTATAATACTGTACGCTGCTTGTTCCCAGTGTGCTGCCTGCTTCATCCCCCTTGTACCCACCCTTTCCATCTCTGCACCCACCTGCAATAGGGATCTCCCTGTGTCTTCAACTGTGCATAACAGGGATCCTTCTGTGTCCATATTCTGATGTACTAGGGCTCTAGTACATGCACCCACAATATTTATCACCGGGTGTCTATATCCTCCAGTGTGGAGATCACCCAGTGTCTATATCCCCCCATAGTAGGGATCTCCCTGTGTCTGTATCCCCCCATAGTAGGGATCTCCCTGTGTCTGTATCCCTCCATAGTAGGGATCTCCCTGTGTCTGTATCCCTCCATAGTAGGGATCTCCCTGTGTCTATCCCACCATAGTAGGGATACCTTGTGTCTGTATCACCCCATAGTAGGGATTCTCCTTGTCTTTATCCCCCCCATAGAAGAGATCTCCCTGTGTCTATATCCCCCCATAGTAGGGATCTCCCTGTCTGTATCCCCCCATAGTAGGGATCCCCTGTGTCTGTATCCCCCCATAGTAGGGATCTCCCTGTGTCTGTATCCCCTCATAGTAGGGATTTCCCTGTGTCTATATCCCACCATAGTAGGGATACCTTGTGTCTGTATCACCCCATAGTAGGGATTTCCTTCTGTCTTTATCTCCCCATAGAAGAGATCTCCCTGTGTCTATATCCCACCATAGTAAGGATTCCCTGTGTCTGTATCCACCCCATAGTAGGGATCTCCCTGTGTCTGTATCCCACCATAGTAAGGATTCCCTGTGTCTGTATCCACCCCATAGTAGGGATCTCTCTGTGTCTGTATCACCCCATAGTAGGGATTTCCTTGTGTCTTTATCCCCCCATAGAAGAGATCTCCCTGTGTCTATATCCTCCCCATAGTAGGGATTTCGCTGTGTCTAGATCCCACCATAGTAGGCATTTCCTGTGTCTATATCCCACCATAGTAGGGATTCATTGTGTCTGTATCCCCCCATAGTAGGGATCTCCTTGTATCTATATCCCCCATAGTAGGGATACCCTTGTGTCTATATCCCATTGTAGTAGGGATTTCCGTGTCTATATCCTACCATTGTAAGAATCACCCTACCCCCGCATAGAAGAGATCTCCCTGTGTCTATATACCCCAATAGTAGGGATCTTATTTATCCCCATAGTAGAGGTTTTCCTGTATCCAAAACCCTCATAGTGGGGACTTCCCTGTGTCTATATCCCTCATAGTGGGGTCTTCCCTGTGTCTATATCCCTCATAGCAGGGATTTCCCTGTGTCTATATCCCTCATAGTGGGGTCTTCCCTGTGTCTATATCCCTCATAGTGGGGTCTTCCCTGTGTCTATATCCCTCATAGTGGGGTCTTCCCTGTGTCTATATCCCTCATAGTGGGGTCTTCCCTGTGTCTATATCCCTCATAGTGGGGACTTCCCTGTGTCTATATCCCTCATAGTGGGGTCTTCCCTGTGTCTACATCCCTCATAGTGGGGTCTTCCCTGTGTCTATATCCCTCATAGTGGGGTCTTCCCTGTGTCTATATCCCTCATAGCAGGGATTTCCCTGTGTCTATATCCCTCATAGTGGGGTCTTCCCTGTGTCTATATCTCTCATAGTGGGGACTTCTCTGTGTCTACATCCCTCATAGTGGGGTCTTCCCTGTGTCTATATCCCTCATAGTGGGGTCTTCCCTGTGTCTATATCCCTCATAGTGGGGTCTTCCCTGTGTCTATATCCCTCCTCATAGTGGGGACGTCCCTGTCTCATAGCAGGGATCTCCCTATTTCTCTAGTATTCCCACCCGTAGTGCAGATCTCCTTGTTTCTATGTCCCTTTAAAGTAGGGATTTACCTTACTCTATGTCCCTTTTGTGGAGATTTTAATTTGCCATTAGTCACCCTATAGTAGAGATATTCGTCTATTATTCCCTATAGTTGGGACCCCCCCTTGTGTCGATAATCTCTGATAGTAGAGATCCCTTTCTTTCTACATGCCCCCCATAGTAGGGATTTTCTTGTGCCTTTATACGCCAGAAGTAAGGATCTCTGTATTTGAACCTCCCACCTTGGTATGGATTTCCTTGTGTCTATGTGGTTTCCCCGTATAGTAAAGAACTTCTTTGTGTCTTTGCCCTCCCACCCCCCATAGTAGACATCTTCCTTGTGTCCAAATCCCAACATAGTAGGGATTATCCTTGTGTCTCTAGCCCCCCGATTGTGGGGATCTCCCTGTGAAGTAGGGAACTTCCATTTGTCTATATTCCCGCATAGTAGGGATCTTCTTTGTCTATATTACCAAGTAGTTTGGGGTCTCCCTACATCTATATCCCACCATAGTATAGACCTCCTGGTGTCCCTATTTCTATTGGTAAGGATCTCCCTGTGTCTATGTCCCACCATAGTACGGACTTTTCTGTGTCAATATTACCAGGTAGTGGGGATCTACCTACATCAACTGTATATCCCACCATAGTATAGACCTCCTGGTGTCCTTATTTCTATTGGTAAGGATCTCCCTGTGTCTATGTCCCAGCATAGTAGGGACCTTTCTGTGTCACTATTACCAGGTAGTGGGGATCTACCTACATCTATATCCCACCATAGTATAGGTCTTCCTGTATCCCTATTCCCGGTGATTCCCTGTGTCCATGTCCCACCATAATAGGGACCTTGCTATATCTACATTCCCTGATAGTAGGGAATATCTCTGTCTATATCCCCACATTGTAGGGATTGTCTTGTGTCTATATATCCCATATTAGGGAACATTCTTGCCTCTGTATCCCTCATATTAGGAATTCATATCTTCCATAGTAGGTACCTCCCTGTGTCTATATCCCCCCCTTTGTAGGGTTTTCCTTGTGTCTGTTTTCTCTGGTAGTAGGGATCTCCTTGTGTCGATAACCCACAATAGTAGGGATCTCTGTGTCTATATCCCCCACATTAGGAATCTTCCTTGTGTCTATATCCACCCCCCCCCCCCATAGTAGAGATCTTCCATGTGTCTATATCCCCCCTCATAGTAGGGATCTTCCTGTGTCTATATTCCCCCACAGTAGGGATTTCCTTGTGTCTGTTTTCTCTGATAATAGGGATCTTTGTGTCTATATCCCCCACATTAGGAATCTTCCTTGTGTCTATATCCACCCCCCCCCCCCCCCATAGTAGAGATCTTCCATGTGTCTATATCCCCCCTCATAGTAGGGATCTACCTGTGCATATACCCTCCCTATTGTAGAGACCATCCTTGTGTCTATAACCCCATAGTAGGGATCTTCCTGTGTCTATACCCCCCTATTGTAGGGGACCGTCCTTGTGTCTATAACCCCATAGTAGGGATCTCCATGTGTCTATATCCCTCCTCATAGTAGGGATCTTCCTGTGTCTATACCCCCCCTATTGTAGGGACCGTCCTTGTGTCTATAGCCCAATAGTAGGGATCTCCATGTGTCTATATCCCTCGTCATAGTAGGGACCATCCTTGTTTCTATAACCCTATAGTAGGGATCTCCATGTGTCTATATCCCTTCTCATAGTAGGGACCTCCATGTGTCTATATCCCTCCTCATAGTAGGGACCATCCTTGTTTCTATAACCCTATAGTAGGGATCTCCATGTGTCTATATCCCTCCTCATAGTAGGGATCTTCCTGTGTCTATACCCCCCTATTGTAAGGACCGTCCTTGTGTCTATAACCCCATAGTAGGGATCTCCATGTGTCTATATCCCTCCTCATAGTAGGGATCTTCCTGTGTCTATACCCCCCCTATTGTAGGGACCGTCCTTGTGTCTATAGCCCCATAGTAGGGATCTCCATGTGTCTATATCCCTCCTCATAGTAGGGACCATCCTTGTTTCTATAACCCTATAGTAGGGATCTCCATGTGTCTATATCCCTTCTCATAGTAGGGACCTCCATGTGTCTATATCCCTCCTCATAGTAGGGACCATCCTTGTTTCTATAACCCTATAGTAGGGATCTCCATGTGTCTATATCCCTCCTCTTAGTAGGGATCTTCCTGTGTCTATACCCCCCTATTGTAGGGACCATCCTTGTGTCTATAACCCCATAGTAGGGATCTCCTTGTGTCTTTAGTCCCCACTAGTTTGACTCTCTCCGTAGCTCCCTCTGATGGACATTTCGCTCCCTGCACCCCTCTCCTCGCTGTGTCAGATTGTCAGTTTGTGTCTCTCTCAGTTTGGCGAATCACAGCAGCTGCGCATGGTGCGGATCCTGCGGAGTACGCTGATGGTGCGGGTTGGAGGCGGCTGGATTGCGTTGGATGAGTTTCTGGTGAAGAACGATCCATGTAGAGGTGAGCCCCCAGTTCTGAGCCCAGAGACCGGTCATTCCAGCTCTGTTGGTTCATTGAATTCTATTCACTGCCAGCCGTGCGCAACAGAAATGTACCCAAACTAATATCGGGTACCGCGCACTGCAGCTGATTCTTATCAGAGATAGACAGCAGAGGCGTAAACTGTGCGATTTGTCTCCAAATGCAATGAAAATGTGTATTTTATACTGACTTTGACTCACGGAGAATGTTTGGGAGGGGAGGAAACTCTGCATACAAAACAAACTCACAAAACAAACACAGCAAATGGCACTCAGGGTTCAAGAATGTAAAATGAAAAGTGTACAAAAGGCGCTGGTGTGCGC